GGCCTTGTTCTAAGAAAAAGTTTCTGTGGCAGTCAATTATTTGAAGCTTCACACATTAAAGAAAAAAAAAAACCTGGTCTGCAGTACAAAAGGGAAACTAAGACATGTCATCTTTAACTTAATAATTGAACAATAAAGTAATTTATTCAAACCCTCTGAAGCTGGTGTAAAAAACAAAGCATACCATTAGAAATGTTTCTTTGTCTTTCAGATCATCAAAAAGCACTAATATTAGCTAAAAAGTAACTAAAAAAAAAACATGGTTCTGTGTCATAACATACGTTTGTGTTCTGTGTTCTATCCAAATTTGTCTTGTGTGTCCTAATTGTGATATATGTATTTCAAACATTGTTGTGCGTACAATATTGTTGTTTTAATGGCTGGGCTTGTTTAGTTTGGAAAAAAGAAGATTAAGGGGGGACATGATAGTGGTTTTCAAATATCTAAAAGGGTGTCACAAGGAGGAAGGCGAAAATTTGTTCCTCTTGGTTTCTGAGGACAGGACATGGAGTAATGGGCTTAAAGTGCAGCAGGGGAGGTTTAGATTGGACATTAGGAAAACATTCCTAACTGTCAGGGTGGTCAAATATTGGAATAAATTGCCAAGGGAGGTGGTGGAATCTCCCTCTCTGGAGATATTTAAGAACAGGTTAGATAGACATCTGTCAGGGATGGTGTAGACGGAGCTTGGTCCTGCCTTGAGGGCGGGGGGCTGGACTCGATGACCTCTCGAGGTCCCTTCCAGTCCTATGATTCTATGAAATCGGGAAAGCAGAAGTGGAGACTGGCAGGGTGCACCTTGCACCCAAAGCACTACTGGTGCAGCTCTGATGGACACGTTGTTGCCCCAGTGGTCTTGCTACCTCACCTTGCCTCCGTGCTCCATGGATTGTCGCATGTTGACAAAGGTAAAACAAAATTGGTTTGCTCCCAGGCAGCCAAAGATTATAGTCTGGCTTGCCCTGTCTGCCAAGCCCACAATGTAAGTAAACCTGTAAAGACAGTTCCGGCAACCAAACCTCCACCTTTAGAACCATGGCTGAATTTACAAATGGACTTTATTCAATTGCCTAAATGTCAATCTTTTAAATATGTGTTGGTTATTGTTTGCTTGTTTTTGGGATAGGTAAAAGCTTATTCCCTGCAGAAAAGCTAATGCCATCACAGTGGCAAAAAAACTTCTAAATCATTACATCCCATTATGAGGAATACACTTTGTGATCTCCAGTGATAAAGTACCCACTTTACTGGACAAATTGTTTAAAAAAACTGGAAAAAGTACTACTCTATCAAACAAGCACTGCACTGCGCGCAACACCTGGAGAGCGCAAAAGCAGGAGAGAAATGAAACGGGATTTTAAAGAACAAACTTGCAAAAATATGTAAAGACTCTGGCTTAACATGGGTAAAAGCACTCCCAATTGCCCTAATAAGCATAAAAGTAACTCCTAATTAAAAAACTGAATTCAGTCCACATAAAATTGCATGTGGCCGACCTATAAAATTGTTAAGCAGCCAAAAAAAAAAAATTGACCTGGCTGGTGCCACACTTATTAAAAAAAACAGTCAAGTATTGTCAGGAACTTATAAGGTGTGTACAGTCTTATCATTCTCAGGTTAAGAACGCCTTCCAGAAAGCCCTAACTGTGCCATGCCATAAACTACAACCAGGAGATTGGGTTTGCGTGAAAGTTCACCAGCGAAAAACTGCCCTGGAACCCAGGTAAAAGGGTCCCTACCAAGTCCTTCTGACCACTCATCCTGCTGTAAAGTGCGAAAAATTGCCCACCTGGATTCATGCCTCCCACCGCAAACCGGTTCCAGTGCCTACACAGGTTGGCCCCAACAAGGAGCACTGCAGACCTGGTACCAGAAACCTAGGTCCAGAAGTAAACGGAAATCAGCGCAGGCCTGGTACCAGCAATCCAGGCCCAAAAGCAAACGACATCGAACTTCAAGGGAGCCAAGCACGTTCACCCCACCGCAAACCGGGTAAACCAGAAGCAAACGACATCTGTGCCCAGAAAAAGTGAACTGCTACCCCTTTGGGCAACCTAAAGCTTTAACTTCGACTAAGGAAACCTTAAACTGGTGGTGTCCTTTCCCGGAAGGAAGGCCTCGTTTTCTGGCCTGGGTTCTTATGTTTTTACTTTTATTATTTATCATCTTTCTCTTTTAGTGGTATGGAATGTAAAGGCTGTAAAAACTAACAGCTCTAACACCTTTATTCATCTTGCACATAAGCTAAAAGCTCAAATGCCAAAATTACATAATACGTCATGTTGGGTTTGTGGTAACAAGGCATACTTAATTCTTCCTCCCTTGTGAAGCAAATCCTGCTACTTAGCCTAGCTAAAGCTACCTGTAGCCCCCATCTTCCCAGTAAAAAAATTAAAAATGTAAAAAACGCTAAAACAAATGTTAAAAAAACTCGTCCTCTTACTTAGCAGGCTGTAAACAATTAAACAGGTGCTTGTGCAAGGTTTCCCTTTGCCTGTGGAGAGGCCACTTATCAATTAAAAAAAATAATAAAACTCCAAAAAGTCTTAAAAATAATGGCAAATGCCACTGCCTTAATGGACTTGGCAACTAAGCAAAAAAAAAAATAAGGCAAATGGTTCTTCAAAATCGCTTGGCATTAAATATTCTCTTGGTCTCTCAAGAAGGAACATGTGCCTTAATTAAACAAAAGTGTTGTGTGTATATTCCTGGTGTTTATAATGCCACTTAGAACAAAGCAAACCATCTTATGCAGGTAGCAAAAAACCATTAAAAAAAAAAAAAAAGAATTCCTGGTAAAGTAACCTGTTTAGCTGGTTTCCAAATATAAGTGGTTGGCTCCATAACTTACTTCGTAGTGCTGTTATTATTTGTAGCTTGGTAGTTTTTTTATGCCATAATCCATTGTAAATGTTAGCATCAAGACTGACGTTCGCAGTCTACCAAGCAGCTATTTCTATTTCCCTCCTTCCTTTCCCAGAATAAAGATGTTAGGCCCTAGAGAATTGGGCCTAGTGCACTTATGTTAAGACAGATCAAGGAAAAAGGTTAACAAAGGTTTCTGGGTAGTCCCTAAGCATAGCTAAAAATATGGCTCAAGCAAGGGGCAATCCCTACGTACTTGCTTAAGTTGCAAAATAAAGTAAGTAAAAGGCTGCACCTGTAATAGGAACAGCTAGTTTAAAAACTAATAAGGTAACTCCCTGTTTCTGTTCTCACCCTAATCTTAACGAACTGTCTCTGCCCTCTGTTGTTTTAACTCCCTGTCTCCTTGTTGTTTGGTACTTGCCTTCTAAGCTGATAAAATTAACACTAGAAGCTTCTAACTAATTAAAGGGGGTTGAGATGCTTAGGCAAATGTTTTATGACGCCACGGAACTGTCTATATAATCTTACTTGTTACTGAAATCATGGCTGGTTCACTTGGGAAATGAGCTGCTCTCTATTGTAGTGTGCACTATTCAATAAAGAGCTTGTGATTAGATCTTGCTAGTGTTGCCTGTCTCTTTGCGGTCAGACAACGAACAAAGGCCGTCCGGGTTAAAGTCCCCAACCATCCTCATAAGCCCCCAGGTTCAGCACCCCTTATCCCCACTTTCACACCACAGTCATTCACAGGTAAACCACACGATGAGCAAACCCCACAGGATTTTGGGCACTACAGGGATCTTTTGCTTGGGTACAAGAAGCGTTGTTGCAGAGCGAATGGGGAAGCCAAAACAACACCCCTTAAGGAAGAGTGAGCAAAAGAGAAAGAAAGAGAGAGAAGCAACCAGTTTAACAATGAAAGTGATTTATTTCTGAGTAGTGAATAGATATCAAACAGTTACAATATTAAATCTAACAATTACAATATTAAATCTAAATTGAAACTGATTACAATGTTAGGTAACCATATAACAGTTTACACAGGGCAGGGTCAGGAGGCTATGCTTAGAGAGATAGTTGAGAGAGAGAGAGAGAGAGACCTCACCACTCCACGGGGTTCCCAGATGATGATTGTAGCCGGGGGTCCAGAGGGCAGGAGAGAAGCAGGACAGAGCCTCCAGCACAATCAGACAGGAGATGAAAAGTCTCAATGGAACTGATGCAGTTTAAGTCCAGGTATCAGAACAGTTTTCTTGGGACAAGGATAGGAGTTTTTATAGGGATAGTTCAAAGAGAAAGAGGAGAGACAATAGAGACTGATCACCCCTGGTTATGGGTGATGTTCCTTGAACAAGCTCACAATGCAACTAGGCAGTTTCAGTATTTTAGATGTCAATAGGATCGTTACTAGAATTGGTCTGATAATGACTAATTTGGGTGTGAGCAGGCCTAGGTTCATTAGCATCTGGAGCAGGGATTTCCCATCAGGCAGTGCTTCTCTGCTTTCAGTGTCCCATAGTTCACTGCGGTTCCTGTCTTGGAAGAGCTGCTCTCCATTCTGTATGCTAATGAGATGTCCCTCTGTTCCATCTTTAATGCAAATGAGGCTGGGGTGTTTCCTTAATTATATCACCCTGGTCTGAAGCAGTTTAGGTGTGTCTTCCCCAGCCTTTTCATTGCTTTGTCTTTGATTCTAGCAGAGGCCTGAGGGAGGGGAATGGTTTTCCATGAATGTCACTCCCTGGCTCCCAAAAGCACAGGGCTGGTAGGTAACATACTGCATTCTCTTCATGGCCCAAAACACCACAGAGGGTGGGGCTCTGTGGCACTAGGGGGTGGAAGGACATGTTTGGACTTCTCTTTGGACAGGTTTCCCCTCAGCTCTTGGTAGATTGCCAAGAAACTTCATCCCTTGGGAGTGGGTGTCTACAGTTCTGGACGGCTTTTGGGACATCCACAAGTATTAGGGACAAAACCCTTTGTTAGTTGCACAGAGAGCTACCACTGCCCCACACAACAGAATAATTCAGAGAAAACGCGAGGAGTGCATGTTCTGTTTCCTAACTTGAGTCAAGATAAGAAGGCCCAGCTTCCCCCTATTAATCTAAAACGACGACTTCAGAGACAGTAGATTACATTGCTCAAATATGGTTTATTTAAATCATGTTAGGCTTTGCAATAAAACAAAGAATGAGCAAGCCACAGCCATCTATAGGAGAAAGAGATGCCTATCACATTCTTGACTTCTTTGCTCAGATTCTGAATAGGGAGCCAATTAGTCTAATCGTTTTTGAGTTGTGGACACCTATCCAGGAACTCGATTGACATACTTCACATTGCTCAGATGGTAATTATAATAGAAATCTAATTACATGACCCTATTATCCATCTCTTAATACTAAATGAACCACCACTGCAAACTGGTCCAGAAGTGAGAGAGCTCTCCTGTGGCTACTAGATGGCGCTGCAGCATTATCCTTAACCATTCTCAGGATTAAAGAATCTAGGTACTTATCAGTTCTGGGTGCATGTCTCAGGTAGAGAGACTGTGTTATATACTCCTAATAAGGAACAAACAATGGATATTCATTGCCACTCTTCACTCAGATTTTTTGATCTGGCACCAGTCCCAACAAGATCCAATAAACAGAGTTCGGCTGGATTCAAACAGCTGACCATTTGGTGAAAGGCTTTGTTTGTATCCTACCACTGATCTTAAATCAAACTCAAACAAATACAATTTTGGAATAACAAGAATGATATTTTAAAAGGCTACTTATATAAAGTGTTAATTAAAAGCAATCACATTTATTTTCCAAAGCAAAAATCCTTCTAGCATTGCATTCATTCCGTTTCCACATTATCTCATCTATACCAGGGAAATGAAGACTTCTAGCTGCAAAATAGTAGATGTAAAAATCTACCTACAAATTTAAAAGGTGAAATTGTTATTCCATCTACGCCAAATACCACTATGTCAAATTATAAACCCATCCTTTCAAACTGTGCCTATGCAATAGCAGTTACCTTTAATACAAACGAACACACACACACTAGACTGTACTAAAAATCACACATCAGCATTTGTGCAACACTCACCAGTTAAGGGTTGATAGTCACAATATACTACAATATTTTAAAATTATTCTATGGTGTACAAATTCTGTTGTAATGCTTTGATGATGCACATTGAGCTTTCAATTAGAAAGATAACCATCACCATAGTATCTGAATTCTTAATGGTACAAGGCTCAAGTAAAAATGTTTTGGTACCTCAAGGGAGGGTGGGAGGAATGACACACCACCTTACATTACAAATGTGCTTGAGAAATTCAGAAGGATGGGAAGTGTAGAATATCCAGCTAAATGGGTAAAATAAAGAAGATATATAGAAATTGATATTTCAGTGTCAGATGCTGATCACAACCCCAGTGCAATCAGAGGTTAATGTTGGCCGTCTGCTTACTGTTGAGGCACTTAAATGTAAGTAGCAGCAACTGGATTAAATAAAGTAGGTGGAATTTGAATGCCACTGACTCATTCCAGGTCCAAGTTTTAAATATAGATGCACCTGATTTACAATACTACAAATCAAATCTTATATGAAGGATATTTTTCCTTGAACACTTGCTGCTAATACTGATAGGCCACATTTAGCACATGGCATGAAAGCTGCTTGAGTTACATCACAGGTTAACAGAGAAATCCAAGAAAATTGTATTGCTTGATCTGATAAGATCATACCATCATCGTACTTTATACCCCACTATACACACAGCAGTCCTTCCATTATTAAAGTTTTTGAAGCCGTGGAGAAGTGTACTCTACCATACGGACAAAGTGGAAGCACTGTTCTAGATTTGTGAATTTACATTTTAAAATAGTAAGAGGTCACAGAAAAATATTTACATGCAGTGTTACCTCACCAGGGCTCAAGATTAAAATACTGCGAAGAGTGAGGCACAGATGCAGTTTGAGATAATTAACTAAAGCACAGGAATGCACCTATTGCAGCCATTTAAATAAGTCACCAAATCAGTTTTACATAAGTAACAAAAATGTGACTCAATAAGCTCTTTACACTATATCTCTTTAAGAAGCTGCATGAATTTCTTAAGAGGACATTTTTACATGGTGCAAAGCAAAAAGATATTTACACTATAGGTTATAACCTACATATTGTACAGATAAATTAGTCTATTCAAGTGTAAATTTTAACTTCACACAAAGTAGGAAGCCAGGAAAAAAAATCCTAGTCAACTCTAGAAGAAATATAGAAAACTTCTCAACAAGAAGTGAAATGGGAGAACAGGGAAAAGTCAAGATGCTCTCTGAAGAGAGATTAGAAATCTGCATCCAGAGTGAAAACATTGTCCGTTGTTTCTGCCATAACTGCAAAGCGCTGATACTCTGAAACCCGCTTCTCAAAGAAGTTTGTTTTTCCTTCCAGTGAAATATTCTCCATGAAATCAAAAGGGTTTTCTGCTTGGAAGACCTAAAAAAAGTAAACTTTATTAAATTGGAGTTCCTTTAATTGGCAACATGGTGCTTTTATGAATTCCCACATAAACAACGCAGAAAATGTCAATTAGCTGGAAGGGGGATTCTTTGAGATGAGTGGTCCCCATGTGTATTCCACACACAGGGTACGCTTGTGCTCCGTATGCCTGAAACTAGAGATCTGTAGCAAATAGTGTCTCTTGGTCCATGCATGCAATTGCTCTCCTTGTGCTCCAAACCAAAGACATAAAGGGTGACAGACAGACAGACACTGTACCAGTTCCTTCTCTTACTAAGAATCAGGTAACATCCAAAGCAGAGGGGAAGGAGGATGGGTAGTGGAATACAGATAGGGACAAATACATCTCACAGCACTTCCAATAAAGTAAAGAGCTGGTCCCTATATGTGTTCCGCACATCAGAGCGTGGTAAGCAGTAATCAAACAGGAGGAAAGTGCGAGGATGCAATTGGTATGGATATCTAACACTACTGTGTTCATGGCTGCATCTGCTAAGACAGCCTGCCCTAGAGCAAAATGCTTTGTAAAGGTGTGCTGGAGCCCCAGGTAGTGCTATACAAACATCCAGCATTGATATTGCTTAAAGAGATGCCACAGAGGTTGCTTGTGCTCTCAAAATATGGGTCTTCATAGCCTGTCTACGCACGTTACATGTGCCAAATGATAAAACAAAATAACACATCCAGAGATCCACTTAACGAGTCTCTTGGGCTACGTCTAGACTGCAAGCCTCTTCCGAAAGATACTTTCGAAAAAGCCTCTTTCGAAAAAGAGCATCTAGACTGCAACCGGTACTTTTTGAAAAAGCAAGCCACTTTTTCGAAAGAGAGCACCCAGGCAGTCTGGATGCTCTCTTTCGAAAAAGCACAGTTTGCATTACATAGTGCCTTTTTTCGAAAGAGCACTTTTAAAAAAAGGCATTATTCCTCGTGAAAAGAGGAGTACTGCCATCGAAAGAAAAGCCACGTTCTTTCGATTTAATTTCGAAAGAACGCGGCTGTAGACTAGACGCAGGTGACTTTTTTTTTTAAAAAGGCTACTTTTTTTTCGAAAAAACCCTGCAGTCTAGACACAGCCCAAGTCAAGAACACTTGTCCTTCTGAGTGCTCTGTTATGGTGCTTTTCCCACTCATTTTCATTCTTTGTGGATAAAAGACCAACACCCATCTGACAATCAGGGAGTGTGGTCTCTTCATTCCTGGAAAAATTAGGTTTGGGGAATAATATTGGTAAGTGAGTAAAATTGGTTAATGTAAAATTCTGAAATTACGCTAGTGATGAATTATAGGTATAAATGGAGACCTCCTCTACAATATACGGTCAGCCATGAGTTTGCCCAGTTCATTCACCTATCTGGCTGACTTGATCGCAAATAAGGTGGCAGCCTTCATGGAAAGATGTGACATGGAACATATGGCCATCATTAAACTCTGGGATTCTTGGTACAGTCCTTTTTCATAGGGAAAGCTCCCCAGTGCAGAGAGAACCAAGCTAACAATAGTAGCTATGGAAACACTAACACATTTAAACACTAGAGTAGACAAACTACTAAGAACTATTTACAAAATATTACAGATATTTTAAGTGGAGGAAGATTAAAGTGGACACAGAATACCAACTCAAACCAGACAGTGGTAAGAAGGAACTGGAAAAACACTGGTCCATGCTGCCCTTTATACCTTCAATTCAAAAGCCCATGAGAGCAACTGAAAATGTGAGGATCAACAGACACCACTTACTACAAAACTCTGGCCTCAGGTGCCAGAAGCACAGACATATTCATATATGGAATACACATTGGGACCAGCACTCAAAGCAGCAGCACACACTTACTGGTAATTTCATTTTGTAAAAATAAAGCAGGGATTCTCCAGTGTCTCCACGTAATATCTAGACTGGCTCACCCCTGCTCAAACAACCAGCCTTAAAAACTAGCACTCAGCAAGGGAGCATGAAATATTACAGGAAATAAGATATTAAAATAGACTTGGTTCTCACTCCACTATAGCAGTATGATATAGATGTTTACTTTTCACACCCTGAGAAAACTCTAACTTGTATATCAATTAATGTTTTTGTACCAATGAATGCATCCAGCACAACAATCTCTATGTAACCCCCAATTTATTTCTCAGAGATTTACTTTTGTGTGTATAATTAAGAGGTTTATCCACAAAGTTCTCCTGTCAGCATTATTAATAAACCTCAGTTTTCCTCAGAGTAACACTATTTTTTAAGGTGCATTTGCTTCCATCAAAGCAAATTCAGTGTCATATAGACTAGGGATGTGAAAGCGTAACCATTTACACCAGTGGTCCCCAACCACTGAAGGATGCCGGGCGCCAGCGGGCGTGGCCGTTCGCCCGCTGGGCGCCAGAGGGTGGGGACACTTGCGCGCCCGGGGCCGGCGCCCCCATATCAGTGTGCCCAGGGTGGGGCCCCCCCCATAGCTGCATGCCGCTCCCGGGGCCAGCACCCCCTCCAAGCGCCGCGCGCCCAGAGCACGGGCAGCCAATCTGCGGCGCTCCCGGGGCCGGCGCTCACCATGCGCCATGGGCCAGCTTCGGCACCATGCATGCACCACGTGCCCAGGGCCGGGCCAGCCCCGAGCACTTGGCGGGTGCACACAAATGCCCCCACGGGTGCCATGGCGCCCGCGGGCACCGTGTTGGGGACCACTGATTTACACAGTTAACCAATGAGCCTGGGCTCATTAATTAACGTGCACGGTTACACGCAGTCCTGCCCCCCAATGCAGCTGCTTCTCTGTCAAGAGGCAGCAGCAGGGAGGCGGAAGCTCATAAGCGCAGGAGACAGTTTTTAAGCCACCTCCCTTCCCCACTAGTGCTGCTACCTCTGTATCAGTGGTGTATCCCATCCCCCCGGTATGTAACCACTGAACATTTCAGCAGTAACACATTCACTTAATGCTTGTAACATCCTCAATATGGACCACACAAGAAATGGGCATGGTGAATTGCTAACCTCATGCAATAAAAATTGTTCTGCTTCATTATAATCCTATAGAACTGGAGCACGTGCCTCCAATTTAAAATCAAGAAGTATTTACAGGGCAACCCTGTCCAAAGAAACAATGGTTTCATCTGTTCTAAATAATGAAATGTGTATACTGACACTGTTCTCTGTTTAAGAGACAGCAGAATGCATAAGTACAGCAAAAGTGCAATACCCAAACCTGTGGTAAGGTAATGCTGCACACAGACAACTTTGCTTGGCCATTTTAACAGGCCAGAATTTGTTGAAATGATCTTGTATCTCACACCTTCTTACCTTAGAAAACCCAAGCTCTGTAAGTAACCGGTCTGCCACAAATTCTATATACTGTTTCATCAAACTGCAATTCATTCCAATCAACCCCACTGGTAAAGCCTCTGTTAAAAATTCCTGGAGTAAAACACAAAAGTTACATTTAAAGAAGGGACAATTCAATTTAAGGGGAGTGAATAGTATCTACTTGGTGGTGGTATACCATTTGTGATGTTTCTATGAAATAAGATTCAAAAGTTGTTTACTCTTAAATAATTTGCATCATAAAAAAACATAGCAAATATTTCCTGTTTTGATCAGCTCTTTGCAACTTTCTATATTTTAGCATTGTTTATCACAGAATCAGTGAGAATTTTCACTGGTGTTTTAACTATGTGATAGAGCCAATTCTCATTAAAAAAAAATCAACAAAAGTTTTTCCATTGAATTCAATGGGCTCTGGATCAGATCCTGTGTGTAGCTATAACAAATCACCTATAGGTAAATGTGACTGACCATGAAAGAGAAAATCCAACTGTGCTAGCCTTAACTTATACTATCAGTTGACTAATACTGTTAAACATAATTTCTAACTTTTGTTCTCAGCGACAAGCAAGAGTACCAAGAGACTGACTGTACAGAGTGTGTTGGTGCACATGTATGGACCAGTCATTTATTAGGAATTCCAGAAATTCTGCCAGAGCATCACTTCTTTACACATGAAAATTCTCGTGACAGTGATACTGTGCAGATTAGTCTCGTCTGCTCACCTGCTCAATTTCAACCGCATTAACAATTATCTCTTTGACTCGCTCTTCTGAAGGCTTGTTCACTAAATAATGAAATATTAGACAAGCAAAGTCACAGTGCAGACCCTGAAATACAAAATAATGAAAGAGGTTTAGTTTCTCCTGCCCCTCATGATTTGCTATTTAAAGTCTTGTACTAATAACTGTCTCTCTGAAAGGAATAACCTGCTTCATGGAAATGTTGATGCATTTCTCAGATCTTAAAAGGGCATTCACCTATACTCGGCAGAAATATAATTATTGAAAATCTACAAATTATGCTGAAAAACAGAAGACAGGAAAAACCAGTTGACTTACTTCAATTTGCTGATATTATTTTTGGACAATCTTTTAAAACAAAGGGTATTTATATGGAACCAAATTCACTTCTACCCTCCTTACAGATGCTTTTGTAATCACGTTATAAGACTTGACATAAGTAGATTCATGAAGACTCTCATGGTTAAGTTATTTTAATTATTTTTATTAGGATTTGTCCTCCCCTCACATGACCTCCAAGCTTTTGCCAAAAGGAAGAGGTTAAATTAACAGAACAAGTTCATTACTGGTATCAAATCTAAAACTGAAAAATACTTTTTTGTTCAATATGCTGCGTTAGTCTGTACATTTTATTGCCACAAGATTTCATCAACGACATTAGGAATAAAATAAGATGGTTGAATAGATTATGGACAATAAGAAAACCCAGAGTGACAGCTGTGAAGATTAAAACAAATCAGCCAACCAAGAGTTTTGGAAGGGTTATAAAACCTCATAAGCCAACCTTAAATGGACATAAGAAATAAAATTACTCAGAGGCAATTTTTTTTCTAAACTACCTACCACAGAACTTCTTATATATTCCTTCAGTTCCACTGTTGCTGCCCATTGTCAGACACAGAATATTGCATTAGATCAGGATGCCTTCAGCTGCTTCCTGGGCCACCTGCCTGGTCACTGTGAGCTCCAGCGGTAGCGCCTCCCAGCAAGCTAAGCTGCGCAGCACCACACTGAGACAGTCCGCATGTGCAGAAGCTGCTGGCTGGTGGGGGGTGGGTGTGGGTGTGTGGCAAGAGGCAGGGCAGAGCATGCCTGCCGCGTCGGCCAGAGTGGTAGTGCCTCCCTGCGAGTGGAGCAGCACCACCCAGCACTGAGCCAGGCTGCAGCAGCGCATGTACAAGAGCTGCCAGGGTGGCTAGAGGCAGCGGGGGAGATGGGCAGCAAGGCACGTGGCAAGGCAGTGGCAGAGCTGGGCAGCGAGACGTGGGCAACAAGCAAGCAAGGCGGCGGTGGAGCCAGGCAGCGAGGCCAGAGTGAGAAAGGTCTGCGCTTGTGTAGGGTTACCATACATCCGGTTTTTCCTGGACATGTCCTTGTTTTTTACATGTTAAATCACCATCCGGATGGGTTTTTTAAAAGGCAAAAAATGTCCGGGATTTTTTGCCCTGCAAAGGGGATTGGGGAGGAGGCGGCAGCAGAACGTGCTTCAACAGAACGTTTGGAGCTGCACACCCAGACCATTCACAGCCACTCTGCGCATGGGCCCCAGAGTCTGGAGGGAAAAGCATGTGGCTCCGGTGAGACCCAGGGTATTACCCTCCACCCCACCAGATTTATGTCCCCGGCTCTGCAGGAGGGAAAGGGCATTGGGTTAGAGCAGGGGGGCTGACATCCAGCATCCAGCCCCATCAGCCAAAACGTGTCATCTTGCCAGCAACTCACCCTTCTCTGCCTTGCTGGCTTTCCCCTTCCTTCAGCTGTGTCTGCTCTCTCCCACCTTCTGCATCGTTTCATACTTTCCCCACCCTCCTTTTTCAGAAACTGATGCAATTCTCCCCCCTTTCTTATTTCACAGCTGCTAACAGAAATGGGATGAGGTCTTGCCCTTACTGGCAGGCGCATGTGCAGAGAAAACTGTGCCTCCTCCCTCTGGGTTGGGAATTCACTGGGAGCCCAGTGACACACTACTCTCAGCTACAGAAGCATTTGACCCCAAACAAATGAAACATTCCATATATTACCTCATCTCGACTAATGAGTTCATTGGAGAATGTCAGTCCAGGCATAAGACCCCTCTTCTTCAGCCAAAATATAGCAGCAAAAGAACCTGAGAAGAAGATTCCTTCCACTGCAGCAAAGGCAACCACTCTCTCCCCTGTTTAATACAATACACTGGAAATTAGACTCAGATAAATCAGATTTGCTTCTGTTTGTCAGGTATGCAGCTTACATTGGACACACTAATACTGAACAACACTAAATCATCATCCACTTAGTTACTGTATTTCATTTCACAACATGAGATTTCACAACATGCATGTATGTGCACACATCATTATATAATCACCAATGAAATGCAGCCACTTTTGGGATGAAAGGGGATAGCTATTAAAAGTGTTCAACATACAACAGCTTATAATAGGAAAAGAGGAAAAATAGCACATCAACTGAAAGTAGAGAGAGCAGAAGAAAGAATTTAATTGGTCAGAAAATCTGGTCAGGACTTTAGGCCTAATACTCCTGTTCTCCTAGTAGAAAGTGCCTTTGTGACTAATAGATAAGATTGGACAACACAGACTTTCTACCTGAGCCTCAACTCTCTGGATCTCAGGTTCCTACATAAAGGGAAGAGCATTCTCCTAACAGACAGGATGCAATGCATTGAGATTTGTAAAAATACTCAGCTGTCTATAGCTTCTTCCATCCAGGAAGTCAGAGCATTATTATTCTGACTCACAAAATCAGCTGAAAATTTTTAATGACCATAAATTATCTGAACCCATTTTATAACTCAGCCTAACAACAGTACCTCCCACTTCTCAGTAAATAATGACTCCACAAAGGCTATCGATGTTAACTTCAGAAAAGAGTGCCACCTAGGCTATGTCTAGACTGCAAGCCTCTTTCGAAAGATACTTTCGAAAGAGCCTCTTTCGAAAGAGCGCGTCTAGACTGCACGCGGAATTTCGAAAAAGCAAGCCGCTTTGCTGTCAAGAACACCTTCTTTCGAAAGAGCACTTTCGAAAGAAGGCGTTTTTCCTCGTGGAATTAGGTTTACCACCGTCGAAAGAAAAGCCGCATTCTTTCGATTTAATTTTGAAAGAACGCGGCTGCAGTCTAGACGCAGGTGAAGTTTTTTCGAATAAAGGCTACTTTTTTCGAAAAAACCCCTGAGTCTGGACACAGCCCTAGTGAATCCTAAGCACCACTTTCTGCAACATCAGAAGTTCCACATGAAGATCTCTCTTCCAGATAATGACTAGCTCTAAGCCTGTTCAGCCTCTAAAATTTAACTTTTCACAGCCCGAGGAATGATAGCTGTGCATGTAAATCCATACACTGAGAGGCTTAAAGGCATTTACCCAGAAAAAAAATCCACACCACGGCAGGAAATGCAGTATAATCTCAAGAACAAATTCAGCAATACTTAATGATTTGTTGTGCTCAAAATTCACCAGAACATTTTACTCTAAAAAAAAAAAAAAAAAAAAACCAACCCACTACTCAAAGCTGAATTAGTGGTAAAATCCTTTGAAGCACTATACTTTGACATCCATATTATCAGCAGATGTATTCATAATCAGAGTTGTTACAATGAACACTAAAGGAATTCATAATCACTCAGCTGAGATTTTTGAAGTCTAACAGAATAATTCTTAATACAAAACTTGAATGCAGAAAATTTTGTTCTTTTCTAACCTTTTAAGAGGTGCTCACTTACAAATGCTCTATTTTAGGAAATACATTTGCATTTGGTACAGAGAAAGTACAAATATTCATTTTCGTAATGCTTATGATGGCCAAACAGGCTAATCTCTTCACCAGCCATTCATCTGAAATGTCTCTTTAGTACCCTGGTTTCTTTTGCTGTGCAGGGAAAGTTATTCTTTAAACTGGTTAATTCCTTTCAACAAGTTTCTCTTTTCAACAATGAAAGTGAAGGAACCAGAAATGGAAGTGACTTAGGGTGGTCCATCAAGGTCCCTGAAAGGGGAATGTGGAACAGATGATCATGGACTCATGAGAAGGACAACCAGCACAATTATAGCAATTAAGCTGCCTTGTAAACCAATCACTGGAGCATACGGAGGTGCGAGTGTGAGTGTTTGTGGGAAAGGCACAACAGAGCGGAGATATTATTCAAAATGAAGCCATCACCCTGCTGTGAAAAATACTGGAAACAGCTAAAGGTAGAGGGTCTATGGTGAATCTTGAAGCACTATTCCATTTGCAATAGCCCTTTAATCACAATAATGAATTTTAACACATTCTGTGCATTAACTAGATGGCATGACAACAGGGATGTAAATATTGATCAAAACAGTTAACTGGTTAAACAATTAAAATTATTTCATTTAAATCATAAAAGTCTTAGCAAATTCTCTGGGAAGTATTCCAGGGCAGAGCTCTTTACCTGAAAAATCAAATAGTAGCTTGTCTAACTAAGACAAAAAATCTGCATCTGCTCTATTAAAATCAATAAAGTCAGGATAGAAAAGCTAGCTGAGGAGGGACAGCTATACCAATGTTTCTCAACCTTTTTTTGTTTTTTATAAAGTACCCCCTTTTTAAAAAAAAATTATAAGTACCCCCAGTACCTACAGTGCTCAGACACACAATTATTTTACCATTGCAACACATTTGTTTAAACAACTTAATCGTAGCCATGTGTGTGATGACATTTTTGTGTATAAAAAGTACAAAAATAATAAAGTGCTTTAAAACTTTAAAAAATTCAGTTTTCTCCAAACTTCAGTTGTGTTGATGTACCCCCCAGACTTCTCTCAAGAACCCCTAAGGGTACTCGTACCACTGATTGAGAAACACTGAGCTTTACCATAATGTCATGCACAGTGCATAAGAAAATGGAGTGAGTCAGTCAGAGTTTACCATTTACAGTAAACTTCCGATAATCCGGCACCTTTAGGACCCAGGGGGTGCCAGATTATCAGATATGCCGGACTATCAGAAGGGGGGGGCTATGAGAGGTCTGGGGTGGAGTGGAGAGGATGCGCCCCTTGGCGCTGCGGGACCAACCCGGCAGCACCCCAGTTGCTCTGTCCCAGACATCCCCAAGTCTTGGAGAAGCAGGGCAGAGCTGCTCTTCCCCCGGCTTCCCCGAGTCAGCCGCTGGTCAGTTTCAGCAGCAGCTGAATCAGAGAAGCTGGGGGCAGAGCAGCTCCAATTGTCTGGCTGCCCGGAGCACTTCCGGGTTCATATGGTGCCGGACCATCAGGAGTGCCGGACCATTGGATGCCGGACCACTGGAGTTATACTGTATTCTCTTTTGAGACCTATTAAATCATCTAGCCCTCTCCCCACCACTGAAATTCCTTGATCTATACAGAGCTCTATAAAATCATGACTGGAGTGGAAAAATTGAATAAGGAAAAGTTATTTACTTATTGCCACAATATAAGAACGAGGGGGTCACCAAATGAAATTAATAGACAGCAGGTTTTAAACAAACAAAAGGAAGTTTTTCTTCACTTAGTGCACAGTGTATGTATGGAACTCCTTGCCAGAGAATGTGGTAAAGGTTAGGACTTTAACAGGGTTCAAAGAAGAGCTAGATAGCCACTGATGGACCTAACCTCTGTGAATCTATTAGCCAGGATGGGTAGGGGTGGGTGTTCCTGGCCCTTCTCTGGATGTGGGTGACAGGAGAGGGATCATGTGAGGATTACCTGTTGTGTTCCCTCCTTCTGGGGCATCTGGTATTGCCCACTGTTGGCAGACAGGATACTGAGCTAGATGGACCACTTATCTAACACAGCATAGCTGTGCTTATGTTCTTGCTCTACATCTTCCAGTGCTTCAGCCAGCCTTGTTTTAAGTAAGTTCCAATTATGGAGTTTGCTCTAGTTCAGCGGTTCTTAAACTTTTTGGGCTCCGGAGCCCTTTACGTGCGTAAAAATTTATGCAGAGCCCCAGCGGTCCACTGATTGTATGTGCTGTACCTATCGATGTTTCCAGTTTGTCAACTTCGCAGAGCCCCAGGGCTCTGCGGAGCACAGTTTGAGAAACACTGCTCTACTTAAAGCAATAGCCTAGGTGCAAGTAGCCTTCCTGAATGGTGTGTACTGGAATCTGGCAAGATACATGCTACAATACATCAATAGAGTATACAATCTGCACCTGCCCCTCCACATCTGAGATATTGTGATGCAAGCTAGTGAAGCTGTGATCCCTATGGCCTGGTTCTACAAGTTTAGACTAGAAAATAGCAGATTTCTAACCATCAGAAGAATGAGATTTTGGAACATCTTCCCAATAGGAGGAGTAGTGGCAGACTATCCAGCTAGATTCAAGATGATACATTTATTAATAGGATTATATGACAGAGTTACCTGCGATAGTAGGGGAGGAGACCCTAAAATCCAATAGAACCTTTCTAGTCCTATGTCCCAAAATTCCTTCACGCTGCTTCCATCTCTTCTTCACCCCACCTTTGGCCATTCCTTATTTCACCTTTCTTCCTCCTCTAGGATAAACCCACTAACATCTCAGTGTCTTCATCACATGTACTCCTCCCCACCAAAACCCTGCTTCCATAGAAACACATACTGTATTTTAAAGCATCCTGATAACGTACACAGATAAATATCCAGGTATTCAGAGGTGAAATGTTTGGGCATTGGACTCTAGGAGCTTTGCCTCCTTAAGCTCACATACAGGTCATTTAAGAAAAGAACATTTATTTTTCTACTCCAAAGAATGGAATGCAGGTGCCATCTGCTGGTTTATTTAGAGACAGTTGATATGGGGAAAAGAATTAAAAGACAAACAGCATATTTACTGTAATACTGTAGCTCATGTGCAATAAATATACTTGACAACTCTAAAGACATACCAGACAATCCTAAACAATAACTGTCCATAAAGCTAACAATTAAATGAAGTACTCCGATTCTAAAACCTATATAACAACATTTCTTGCAGAAAGCCTACTGGCTGGCTCTTGCAGACTGAAATATGTAACAAAGTTTTAATATGCTCATTAGAAATCTTGAATTAAGAGTGTCTATTTCTGAACGCTCCCCCCCCAAAAAAAAACATAATGAAGTTGAGCTAATTGATTCTTTTCACCCCCCACAGAAACAGCTGTGAGTGCAAGAAAGACAACAGAGTCCTGCTGTATATTGGAATTAATATACTGAACAGTCAGCTAAGAAAGTCAGAGCTAGTGAAACATCTATGCAACACACATCTGGCAATGGGTCTGGACAAAAGTGAAAAAATGCCATTAATAAGCAAATAAGATACATATACTTGTTATATCTGGCCTAGGCAACTCTAGGAAGATTGCGGGAAAGGAAATGGTTCCCCCCACAATGGACATTTGGAACTTGATTGTCAATTATTCTCAGTTGTTTTTGCTGAAGCCACCAATAATCACTACTTTGTTTGAATTTTACCAAAGATATTCAGGTGATCCCTCTTCCCCAGCACAATATATAATGTAATCTGCGTCTCAGTTCTTCCCATCCAAAACAAGAATATCTACAGTAATGAATCAAAAGTTCTTGCAGAACAAGATAATCTCATTTTTAGTTGGAGGGCAGGGGTGCTTGGACATACTCCAACAGTGAGAGTTTGAACCCTGGTTAAACTCATAATTGCCTTTTTATCCTATATTCATAACACAAGTGCCCCCCAGACACCACATATCATTATCTCAAGATTGAGATCTACACAGTCACCTAAACACTCTCTTTTTTTAGAAATCACAGTTGGGCTTGAAACTCAGGATACAGTATCCTTTAAACTTAGGAGAAATTCTGCTCTGGAAAGTTACAGCTCAGTCCCAGAAAAATTAACCTTCGTTAATCTGGGGCATATAAAATAGAATCATCTAATTAAAAAGCTACATACCAAAAGTTGATTCTCTGTCTGCTATCCACCTCAGGGCCCAATCTGCTTTCTTCTTCACACAAGGCATTGTTTCAATTGCATTAAATAAAAATTCTCTATAGAACGGAACAAATGTAATATTATAAACACTTATAAAATATTTATATTACATTAGTGCCCAGAGACTCCAGCTGAGATTGGGATCCATGTGCTAGGCAATATATAAACACAGAATAAGACAGTTTTTGCCCCCACAGTTTTTACAATCTAAACAGATAAAGGCTACAAAAACAAACAGAGAGAAACAAATGGAAAGTGACTTATTCAGGTTCACACAGCAGATATGGGCAGAGCCAAGAATAGAACCCAGGTTTCTCAACTCCCAAATCAGTGTTTTATCTACTAGATTATGGTGCATCTCACTCCATGAGCCAAATGTTGGCCAGTTCCTGCTTCAGGAGCCTTCCCCTCCTGATTACTCTTGCTGGCCCCACATAGGAGCTGGGCACAATGTCAATCCCTGTGGATACAACTGCTAATTCTGGCTAGCACAACTAACTGTGTTAAATACTCCCAAAAGGTGTACAAACATTAGTTTACAAGGTGACACAGCAGCCATCTTCCCATTGCCCATGTTCCTTAGAGTTCCAGGAGACCTTAACCTGCCCCAGTGCAAGATGCTGCCCTGGACAGAGCTCTGCATGACTCTCGCTATAGGACCATGGTATCACCATACACCTGCAGCCACTTACTAACTTCTTTGCTATTGTTACTACTGTTATTATTTAAACTAGAGAGACTCTCCTTGTTGACATACAGGGCAAAACTCAGTTAAAGGGCATGACATGTCTCTTTACGAATGACTGGCTAGTAGGAGCATAAGCTTTCGTGGGCAAAGACCCACTTCGTCAGATGCAGGTACATGCATCTGACGAAGTGGGTCTTCGCCCACGAAAGCTTATGCTCCTACACTTCAGTTAGTCTATAAGGTGCCACAGGACTCCTTGCCGCTTTTGCAGATTCAGACTAACACGGCTACCCCTCTGATACTTGGCTAATGTAGTTCAAAAGGAATGTTTTGAAAAATATTGGCAACAAAAAGCTGTTTGCAAGTAAAGTGATAGACTATTACCAAACCCAGATCATTAAATAGCATTAAATTCCTACAGCATTTCATAACCAAACTGTTTTATTACTTATATTGCTCCGTAAAAAATATTAACTAATCCTTACAACACTCCTTTGATGTAGGTATTATTTCTATTCTGTTTTATAGATGAGAAAAACACCAGGAAATTTTTAAATTATTTAATTAAGGACACCCAGCAATTTACCATGGAAAAGAAGGCAGGTGATCCTGGCATGTGCTACATGACTAGCCCTTTAGACTGCACAGCCAGTACTGAGGTAATATAGTCAATGACTTTGTGACAACTGTGACAATTACCGTTTCTTGGGATCTTTGATGTAAGTGTCTATCAGCAAACTGTACATCTCCGAGTGAACATTCTCAATTAAAATCTGAAAGCCATAGAAACAGCGAGCTTCTGGGATTTGCACTTCCTGGCTGAAACGCTCCACCTACCAAAAAAAGTGCCAGTTAGAGTATTAGCATTGCCTGAGAGAACAGAAATGAACAAAAGCATCCCACACCCAGCCAACGGAGAAAGGATGAAGACAGTTGGATTGAAATATTTCACAAACATGCATGCAAATATCTAGCAGATTATGGAATTATTCTTTGAAAGTGAAATACAGATGTTTTATAGATAGCTTATAAAACTGTAATTAAGTGGTATGTTGTATATGTAATGAAAATATACACCAGAATACTGCAACACTGAAAACTTCACATTACACAAAAAAGATCAGAATTCTGGTTTGATATTAAGTAAAATGAACTTCCTATATTTTGTGTTTCAGAGAGACTATATCTATCTTTCTTCAATCCCACCCCTTTTTACAACGTATTCCCTATGTGTATTCCAGAAGTTATATGTGTGCAAGGTCCAAGATAGGTCATTTTCAGTCTTACACAACTGATTGTTTAAGGTGAGATATTTTGTAGCCCAGAATGTCTACAACTGGCAAATTCATATAATCAGAAAAGGGAGATCCATCACTTACTTGCAGGCCTGGCAGATTCAGCAATACCTGCAACAAGTCACCTTAATAAACATAGGTCCTTAGAATCGGTTTTAGTGAGATAAGAAACTCTGGCCAGGATATGGCAATATGCTAAGAAGAGATAGTTAAAATCTCATTATCTCACTGAGAAACATTGATGGGATCACTGGAAAAGTTCACTACCACCTTCCCTTCTTAGTGAGCCAAAAATTAACACAGTCCACTTGAAGGGAAATGCAGGACGATGTAGCACTTTAAAGACTAACAAGAAGGTTTATTAGATGATGAGCTTTCGTGGGCCAGACCCACTTCCTCAGATCAAGCTCATCATCTAATAAACCATCTTGTTAGTCTTTAAAGTGCTACATTGGCCTGCATTTTGCTTCAGCTACCCCAGACTAACACGGCTACATTTCTATCACTTGAAGGGAGGACTTAAAGACTATTTACATGAATTGAGTGTTTAGAATCTTTAAGACTATACTAATGTGGTCCTAATTTGTCTTAAATATTGGCCCAGGGAGAACAGGTTGCTCAGATGTCTAAGCAAAACTGAGATTATGTGGCAGAGAAAAAATGCAACTACTAAATAACAGACACTTGATTATATTAAGTCAAAATTGAAATGAAAAGTTTTAGCTAGTCTTATAAAAGGTAACTCACAAGAAATGGGCTATATTGTAAAGATGCCTTACCAAATTTTCATTTACAATTCCATCACTGGCTGCAAAAAAAGCCAGGACATGAGAGATGAAGTATTTTTCTTCTGATTTCAGCTTGTTCCAGTGAGGAAAGTCCTTCGATAAATCAACCTTATGGTATAAAAAGAAAGAAAAATACAATTATTGTCCTTTAGCATTGATAACACTTGAAGAAAAATAGAATCTTAAACAAATCAATGATGTAGAGAGTTGAGATCATATTTGAAAATGTTTAGAGGATTTTACTTCATTTGTAAAGAAATTTAAAAATCAAACACAGTGAAAGCAGTGAAATATGGTAATGTATTGTCACCATAATACAATGTAATTGCTTTGCAGCTTATAAATGACACTTTCTTCTCTGTCCACCACACAAATACAGATCTTTGGAAATTCAGAGAATATGTACACCATTTAATCACTAGAATGACCACTAGATACCTGATATTACAGCATGTCCAAAGGTATTTCTAATGGAAAAACAGAATAATTTACATTTATGCAGAGTACTTCATTTGGAAGAAAGGAAAGTGATCAGGAATAGTCAACATGGATTCACCAAGAGCAAATCATGCCTGACCAACCGGATTGCCTTCTAGGATGAGGTAACTGGCTCTGTTGACATGAGAAAGTTGGTGAATATGATATATCTTGACTTTAGCAAAGCTTTTGATATGTTCTCCCACACTTAACTGCCAGCAAGTTAACGAAATATGGATTGGATAAATGTACTGTAGAGTGGATAGAAAGCAGGCTAGATTTTAAGGTCAACGGGCAGTGATCAACGACTTGATGTCTGGTTAGCAGTCAGTTTCAAGCAGAGTGCCCCGAGGGTTGGTTCTAGGGCTGGTTTTGTTCAACATTTTTATTAATGACCTGGATGAGGGTCATGGATTACACCCTCAGCAAGTTTGCAGATGACACAAAACTAGGGGGAGAGGTAGATATGCTGGAGGGTAGGAATAGGGTCCAGCGTGACCTAGCCAAATTGGAGGATTGGGCCAAAAGAAACCTGATGAGGTTCAACAAGGACAAGTGCAGAATCTTACATTTGGGATGGAAAAATCCCAAGCACTGTTACAGGCTGGGGACCGACTGGCTAAGCAGCAGTTTGGCAGAAAAGGTCCTGGGATTACAGTAGATGAGAAGCTGGATAGGAGTCAACAGTGTGCTTTCATAGCCAAGAAAGCTAACGGCATATTAGTGTGCATTAGAAGGAGAATTGCCAGCAGATCTAGAGAAGTGATTATTCCCCTTTATTTGGCACTGGTAAGGCCACATTTGGCGTATTGTGTCCAATTCTGGGCCCCGGACTACAGAAACAATATGGATGCATTGGAGATGGTCCAGTGGAGGGCAACGAAGATAATTAGGGGGCCGGAGCACAAGACCTATGAGGAGAAGCTGAGAGATTTGGGCTTGTTTAGTCTGCAGAAGAGAATCTTTAACTACCTATAGGGAAATTCCAAAGAGGATGGAGGCTGTGCTCAATAGTGACAGATAACAGCATGCGAAGCAATGGTCTCAAGTTACAGTGGGGGAAGGTCTAGGTTGGATATTAGGGAAAACTATTTCACTAATAGGACGGTGAAGCACTGGAATGGATTACCTAGGGAGGTCTTGGAATCTCCATCTCTAGAGGTTTAGGTCCCAGCTTGACAAAGCCTTGCCTGGAATGATTTAGCTGGGGTTGGTCCTGCTTTGGGTAGGGGGTTAGATTCAATGACCTCCCGAAGTCTCTTCCAGCCCATGACTTGCACACTATGCCTCTGTTAATGAATACTTAAATTCCATTGCTTTTGTGTAAGAGTATCACATTTATGACTTATGTCGAGGCCAGGAGTGGCCTGAGGCCGGCTGCAGCAGCTGGTGCCCCAGGCAGGCGGCGCAATTGACGCTCCCACCTGTATGGCCATGACGCCATCATCAGGTGCCTGGGCCAGCAGTGCTCTAGGCAACTGCCTAGTTCGCCTAGGCTCCCGGGCCGCCCCTGGTCAAGGCTGTGATCCACCACACCTTTCAGATGCTTCTCTGCAGCACTGCTGCCATGCCCATTTTCCACCATATAGTATTTATGATTTTGTTTTTTCTTCCCCAAGTGCAGCACCTTACATTTGCCTTTCTTGAATTTCATTTTGTTGTTTATAGCAGTTTTCCAATCAAGATACTTCTGAATTTTAGCTCTATCCTCAAAAGTATTGGCAACCCCACAACTTTGTGTCATCTGCAAACTTCATCAGCATGTTCTCTCTACCTATATCCACATCATTAATACAGATGTTCAACAATTGACCCAAAACAGTTCCCTGTGAACCCTACCTGAATCACTTAAATCTCTGTTCTTTACTTTTAAACTCATTCTTGTTTTAGTACAATATCAGTGAAAGTAAAGTGTGAGTCTTCAGCTCAACTAACAGGCTAGTGTGTACGCTGTCTCTTTGGAGGCAAAGAACTTAATAATTTGTGACCATCGCAGTGAGACATTTCTAGGGTTCACTGACCATTAATTGCATGGTTTAGATCAGCAGAGTCTCAAGGAATTTGCTGGTGAAGTGGACCGACTGGAATGGCAGGAAGCTGACAGTCTAATCTCCAACAAGGATCACTCTTGCTGGACCAGAGATCATTCAGTGGCTTACGGTTCTGGGTGTTCTGATCAGAACATCACACTCACCTCTTCTACTGTCCAGAATGAAGCTTGTGCCTTTTTATACATTTTCCACAAATCCGGGTATTGCAGTGGGAAGATGACAAATCGACGAGGATTTTTTCTGAGAAGAGGTTCTTCATTTGATTTAAAGTCATTTTCAATTGCACATGAAGAGAAACCCTTAAGAAAAAGCATGTTATATCAGAAGATTATTCTCCAATTGTAACTCCACCACTTAGCTTAATTATTTTAAAAAGTAAGATAAAAAAAATCCTTAGAACGAAACCACTGAGACATGCACATGCCTGAACCAAGTAACTGAAGGATCCTCTCCTGTAACTCTTGCTCTTCCGTCTGCCATCCCTACTATTTACTGCCATTGCTTGTTCTTTCTGCCCAGCTCTACCTAGAATAATTTTGGGTGCAGTAAATTAATAACAGTACCAGACGTTTCTCTCATTCTAGAGGCAGCAAGAAGGGGGAGGGGTCTTGCGTGAAACTATGAAGGTTAACCAATGAGCCCCGGTCCATCAGTTAATCATTTACATGAATGCATCACATCCCTATTGTGTACCTTCCACTACTCTGATTTCATCTTAGCTGGATGTCATCCTTCTGTTTAAATCTGTGGTATCCATCCAGTTCTGAAGCAGTAGCCAATATAGCAGCTACAGCTATAGTGAATTAGCCACATTATTCTGAAAATGTAAATAATAGAGTGGCTACTGCTATAGCCAAATAGCTACATGTGGCAAGTGGCAAGCATGTTGGAAACCATGGATTTAAATGATGATGGGCAGCCAGCAGTGCCCGTTTGATATCAGGCAGTAGTGAGTTCATACTCCCAGATTCATTCACATTACAACAGTCATACACTCTAGTGCTACAGATTTGTCTGCCTTTTTTGGAGAGCTGCACATCCAATTCTAGCTGAAAAAGAGTAATCAGAATGCAAACATCTACAAGACATCGTCAGAGCAAATGACTGCAAGGAGCACCCAAGAGTTGGTTCAACTGCCACATCAAAGCAAAGGAGCTCTAACATAAGTACTTAAAGACAAAAAGGGACAACAGGACCACTAGTAATAGTTATATCACCTTGCCAATACTATGAGCATTGGATACCCAGATAGTTTGGATATTATATAAGAACCCCATATAGACAGCTATCCTGGAGCTGCTGTGGTGGAAAGCATATCCAAGAAATATTACATAGTATAAGATAATAAAGCTGTAGGAGGAATGTAAATTATTGTGTTAAATGGAGCTAGGAACCCCTTTCTGACTCCTCAACCTTTAAACTCTACCACGTCTCCACTCAAAATTAGGGATGTTAAAAAGAATTTGAGGTAAACATGTAACCGCTGACAATTTCAGCTACATCACAAGGTAACATCCTCCAGCATAAGAACAGCCTTCAGGAGCGCAAGTGCAATTGCTATTCTACCCCTCGCTATCTTCTGCCCATCCACTCCACAATTCCCCACCCTCTCAGCTTTGGCTCAGAGGGCCTATACAAGAGGGAAGTAACCTGGAAAATGATGGAAGAGATCTCAAGGCAAACCACTGAGTGGGAAAAGACATTCCAAAACTGTGGGAACAGTAATATTTTATCACCATTGACATGGAGATTAGCATCGGGACAATAAATACCCATACCACCTGGAAGGTTATGACCTGGGCACTAGGGGTATTATCTGAAAAATGCAGTCATGTTTCCAAAGGAGGAAAAAAAAGACAAAAGGTGAAATATTCATGGAAGCAGTGATTTCATCCCAGCAAATGACCAAAAGACAGAAGGGCAAAGGGAGTAGAAAAGTAGCACATGGCCCTGCAAAATTTCACAATACAGACAGAAACAGCTTTGTTGGAGCACCTTTTGTTACAAACGTCAAGCACAGGACATTACAACCCAGACTTGTAATGTCCTGTATGGTATGGGGAACACACCATAATTTCAAATTGCAAATCCTACTAACTAGGGATGTTAGATATCACATAACTGAATAGTCATGTAACTGCATGAAATCTTAGTGGTTACACGACTATTCGATAGTCCCCAGGGGCGGAGCTGGCAGCCAGTGTGCTCTTGGTACCACTCCCAGGGTGACAAGTGGAGCCAGTCCATGAGGGGAGCCAGTTTAAAAAACTAGCTCCCTGCGCATACCAGCTGTCTGCCACCCCACACTGCTGCTTCTGATGCAAAAGCAACAGCATGGAGTGGCAGTGGCCCCTGTCCATGGGAAGGGGTCTGAGTTCTCCATGGACAGAGGCTGGTGCCATGAAGCCGCCTCTGCTTATGGCAGGCCAAGGCTTGCCACAGACAGAGACTCGGGCCCACCACTGACAGAGACTGCTTCATAGCAACCTCCCCTGGCCATACCCTCTGACAGAGGCAGCAGTACAGAGGGAAGAGGGCAGGAGACACTGCAGAGCCAGTGCTGAGGAGGACTGACTTTTAAGCTAGCTCCCCCCCAGCACCAGCTCCTGCTTGGCAAAAGCAAAGATATTTACTCTCTTGATTAAATGCGATAACAAAGCAGTCTTACATTTCCAGAGGGCCAAACTGGACAGTCTCTAGGAAAATAATTAATGGACACAAATCTGATATCTGAAAAGGCAACACACAAAAACCTGCTGGGGAACATTTTAGCTTGCCACAGCACTCATTAATGGATCTCAAAGTTACCATATTGTTTCATGCCAATTCCACAAGCTAACTCCACAGGGAAGCCTTAAAACTTAACTTCATTTATAAGTTTGATTCCTGTCACAGAAGTATGAATAAAGATACTGGCTGGATTGTCCACTATATTCCACATCTTAATGACATAAAAAAACCAAATAATGGGTATTCAAGACCAATCAGCACCTTCTCTGTAAGCTTCATGTAGCATGGACACTAATGACTATTTCTTCCCCCCTTTTTTCCCCCGTTCTTTTTCCTTCTCTCCCCCAATCTTCCATTTATTTAGAAACTGGACCTTTAATAACTCCACTCATCTGAAGAAATGGGTTGGGCCCACGAAAGTTCATTATACCATCTACATGTTTTGTTAGTCTCTAATGTGCTGCAAAACTATTTGTTGTTTTTTAAGTACATTCTCTTTCCCCTTAGCTTTCCTTTTCTTCTCTCAGCCCTTTGGACAGAATGTCAAAGACAAACTTATCAAATATCAAAGAGATTCCTTGGATAGGTAATCTCCCTGTCTTATGTATAAGTATCTCATCATGCCAATAAGCCTACTTATGAAATTAGATACGTTTTGCATACCTTGCCTGCTCTTCCATTTCTCCAGCAATGTTAATGGTAGAACTACCTGTTGATACAGCTCCACATACCAGTGGGTTCAGTGATACTACTACAAGTGTAGACAGGACATGCTGTATCTCCTAGATCTGCTCTATGATTCTTGGACTTTGAAAGTATTTGCCTGTCCACTACAATATCATGCCTCCCCACCCCAAAAGATTCTTATAGATAATTTTTCTTCTAAAGCGTCCTCTGTATTCCTCCTCAGTCAATTCAGGATTAGGGATATAAGCAACTTGCCGATTAGGAACCATCTTTTAAACTGGCTCCCCTCAGCACCATCTCTACAGGGAGTCAGGGGAGGCAGAGGTGCAGCAGAGAACCCATGCTAGCGGGTACCAAAGCTGTCTCACTGGCGCAGGGTCCCCACTGTTACTCTTGTACATTTCAAAGGCAGAGGCACAGCAGAGCGCCCCCCCTTAGCAACTAATCGAGTAGACGAGGACTACTCAATTAGCTGATTAACTGACATTTAACATTCCTATTCAGGATTATAATTCTATCTTTGGAAAAAGCTTCCTGTTTTTCCCAAACCATATGAAGTTATGTAAATATGTATAAGCACAATAGTTGCCTCATGAGAGCCTATTTTTTAATTTTATTTTCCAACAAAAAAAAATTATCTGCCCTTTTCGGAGGCTGCCCTCCCATTAGTCTCTCTGTATGTCCATGTTGTTGCATAGTACTATTCCTGGCTGAAGATTGTCAGTCACACACCCCTATTTTTTTTTTTTAAGATACTGAGAATCTATCATTTCTGTACTGTAACTCATTCCCAGTCCAGTCAAGATTATAGAAGAAATACTCTGCAATCCCCTCTTTCCTTCTCTAGGAGAATCAAGTGAATTTGATTAGATCAAGTGAACAGAAAACTACGTGGGAAGGTCTGAAGGTAGCCAAGCATAAACCAAGTAACTGGGACATGACAAGGATCACAGCCCCCCAGGCGCTGCAGGGAGCGAGGGGATCCCAGCACTGTGCGGGGGTGGGGAGGGAGGGGAGGAAAGGCAACGCGCAGCCCAGCTAGGGGGTCCCAGCTGGGCTCGGGGAGGGGTAGGAAACCCGGTGGGGGAACAGGGCAGAGGGGCGGGCAGCAAGGAGGCTAGAAGGGCCCCCCCCCCGCCTTCTGGTTCCCACGGCCCAGCTGTTCTTCGCCACCGCACCAGGATCGCGTGGCCCCGGGAACTGGGGCTTCACAGAGCCGAGGAGCCCCTCGCACCTGAGCACCCGCGACAGTCGCTGACCCGTTCGCCCC